AAATATACATTTCGTCATAGTTTTTATTATCAAGAATCTATTTTTAGCTCGTCATCGTCTCGTCTCAGTCGTGTAAAAAAGGTCGTAGCTTTCGATGACGAAATGAACACTGCCTCCAACAGAATATATATAGGACATAAAACAGATTGAACCAATACAAATAGTGAAAGAAATAACAACAGAAATAAAATAGCGCAAGAGAATGTTTTGAGATGTGTACAAATAAAATAGAAATAGTGCAAGAAGAGTCTATATGCACGTAAATGGAATATGATATATAAATAAATTACCAGATGCAAACAGATGAATGTTTATGGAGAGCATGCAAGTTATTAAGCGAGTGTAACGCACAAAATACTGACTGTGACCATTTTAAACCTTGGACATCTGAGGGTCTTTGATCTGACAATCACTAACAAACTGTGAATGTTTGTGAAAAAGCCTGAGGAATATTTCACATAACGAAAACAAAAAGGTTTTCAGCTTTGCAAAAAATCTGCTTGTTTTCAAAAGTGTAAATTCAAAGGTTCTCACTACTTTTTACAAGATCTAGCTGAATATACAGCGACATGTTTATGGTGGTGATGTGGACAAAATGAGAGTGAATGTGAGACAGACAGAGGAGGGGGGGTGTTAATGTCTCCCCCGTACAGGTGAGTCTCCTGCGGGTCCTGTGTCCTAACACCCTATTGTCTCCTTATCTACTTCCTCTCTCCTCCTCAGCAGACGCTGCCTGTTTAGACTGCCGCTCGATCGCCCGCTGTCTCCTCTCATCTCTTCTTTCAATATATCTCTCTCACACACACTATCTCTCTCACACACACTCTCTCTCACACACTCTCTCTCTCTCACTCTCTCTCTCTCACACACACACTCTCTCTCTCTCACACACATACACTCTCTCTCTCTAACTCTCTCTCTCACACACTCTCTCTCTCCACAGCTGCAGCTAAACCGTACGCCACGAGTGCGAACAGGACTTATGGACCTGTTGTCCAGGTGTATATTTAAAGGTTTGGCCTACTGTGTACACATAGACTGACATGGATTACATAGAGTTTACACAGTGTGTGTGTGTGTGTGTGTGTGTGTGTGTGTGTGTGTGTGTGTGTGTGTGTGTGTGTGTGTGTGTGTGTGTGTTATTAATCAGTTTTACTCTGAACCAATGCATGTGTAAGTACTCTTGACGTGAGAAATATATTTATCATACTCTGTTTCAGGGTTTTGCTCCATATTACAAAGAAATAACGTTGAATCAAATAGAATATAAATATGTGTATAACATAAGAGGTTAAAGTGCGAATGTGCACACTGTCCTGCAATGTCCGATAGTCCACCATTAACACCGTAGTCCCGTCTCGTCAACGAAAACTAAATATACATTTCGTCATAGTTTTTACTATCAAGAATCTATTTTTAGCTCGTCATCGTCTTGTAAAAAAGGTCGTTGACGAACATTTTTAGTCATAGTTTTCGTTGGCGAAATTAACACTGATCCCTAAACCACTAAAATGCAGTTCAACAATTGACTGATCTTGAAAATGACTTCAGCAACGACGTATACAAGTACAACTATAAACAAAACCACTCTCCATCTATATGTTTAGACCCCCGCTCTCTTCACCTCTTCCTGTTTGAGCGCTCTGACTTCACATCCCTTCTGTAGTTTACTCTCTTCATGCTTCCTTTATTTATATCATCCCATCATCTCCTCTCCTCCACCAACACTTGTTTTGGCAACTGCTCCCATTTCCCCTCATCTAGCCCCCCAGTGTGTGTGTGTGTTATCTGAGAGAGTGGATCTCTGACATGCCTCGTGCTTCTGTGTAAATAAAGCCCAGAGGAGAAGTGCCTCCTTTCTTCTCTCGCTTCAGGAAGATGACGGGGCATATATTGTCAGAGGAAACCAAAAATAAAACACGGTCACTAGTGGACTTTTACTGTTAGCTGCTCCAAAATGATTGGCATGATTCAAACTTGTGTGAGTGATATTATCATAACATTATTATCTTTACTATCACCATGTATGATCCCAGAAGGAGATATTGCTAGGGATTAGATTAGATATACTTAATTGATCCCAAATAGGAAGAACTGTACATTTGACCTTTATATTTAATGTAATATTCCATTCCTTACACACTTAATGTATAATATCCTGCTTTTATATTTGAGATGTTTACATTTTGAATTGTTTATTTATAGTCTTTTAATTCCTCTAATGTACAATGCCTTGTCTATTTATGCTGCTGCAACACAAACATTCTCCCAAATTGGGATCAAGAAAGTGCTTCTTATATTATCTTATTATCTTACAGTAAGTTGTTGCGTTAGAGCAGCATGTTTTCAAGGCATTGCAAGTTAAAAATATAATAAAGATCAACAGTAAATATATCCAGGGCATATTATCAGCGTCTGTAGAATATCGATAGAAAACTAAATAAACACTGTATTAAACCAACCTACTACTTAAAGGGCCCACGTCATGCTTTTCCAGTTAGTACCCGTCCCCTTGTGTTATGAAGGTTGTTCTGCATGTAAACGGTCTGCAGAGTCACAACCCTCAAAGTACACCCTGTAGCGAGTAAAACTCTAACACAGAAAATACCTCGTTGGAGATACGTCACTGTCCATTTGATTCTTCCGGGTACATCATGATGTCATGTCGTCCCCGGAACGAAATGGACCAATCCGTGAAGCCGTTACGTTACGTCCGCGGAGCCGTTACGTTAAGCCCCCGCTGATTGGTCCAAATTGACCAATCCACGGACTTCCTCACACACTCAGTGCAGGCAGCTCTGCTGACCTCTCCTCCCTGGCTGCAGGCTGATAACAGACAGTTGGGATCGCGGCGAAATTCTCTCTGCGGCGAAATTCTCTCTGCGGCGAAATTCTCTCTGCGGCGAAATTCTCTCTGCGGACCCGTTCTCTCTGCGGACCCGTTCTCTCTGCTGACCCGTTCTCTCTGCGGACCCGTTCTCTCTGCGGACCCGTTCTCTCTGCTGACCCGTTCTCTCTGCGGACCCGTTCTCTCTGCGGACCCGTTCTCTCTGCGGGACCCGTTCTCTCTGCGGACCCGTTCTCTCTGCGGACCCGTTCTCTCTGCGGACCCGTTCTCTCTGCGGACCCGTTCTCTCTGCGGACCCGTTCTCTCTGCGGACCCGTTCTCTCTGCGGACCCGTTCTCTCCGCGGACCCGTTCTCTCTGCGGACCCGTTCTCTCTGCGGACCCGTTCTCTCTGCGGACCCGTTCTCTCTGCGGACCCGTTCTCTCTGCGGACCCGTTCTCTCTGCGGACCCGTTCTCTCTGCGGACCCGTTCTCTCTGCGGACCCGTTCTCTCTGCAGACCCGTTCTCTCTACAGACCCGTTCTCTCTACAGACCCATTCTCTCTGCAGACCCGTTCTCTCTACAGACCCGTTCTCTCTACAGACCCATTCTCTCTGCAGACCCGTTCTCTCTACAGACCCATTCTCTCTGCAGACCCATTCTCTCTACAGACCCATTCTCACTGCAGACCCGTTCTCTCTGCAGACCCGTTCTCTCTGCAGACCCGTTCTCTCTACAGACCCGTTCTCTCTGCAGACCCGTTCTCTCTGCAGACCCATTCTCTCTACAGACCCATTCTCTCTACAGACCCGTTCTCTCTGCAGACCCGTTCTCTCTGCAGACCCGTTCTCTCTGCAGACCCGTTCTCTCTACAGACCCGTTCTCTCTGCAGACCCGTTCTCTCTGCAGACCCGTTCTCTCTGCAGACCCGTTCTCTCTGCAGACCCGTTCTCTCTGCAGACCCATTCTCTCTGCAGACCCATTCTCTCTACAGACCCATTCTCTCTGCAGACCCATTCTCACACCGTTTACCAACCTTTTTCTTACTCAATATCAAGCCACACTTATTGTTTTTACTTCGGCTGTGACTGTGTGTGTGCTCAGGGTGAGTTTGGCTGTGTTTCGCTGTGTATCGCTAAACAAGGAAATCACACCTCCACGGAGCTCAGCGCGATTCACAACGTCCCGACTGGTCGCGACCAATCGGAGCACACTGGGCTCACAGGGAGGGGGGGGGGGGGGGGGGGGGGGGCAAGAGCTGCAACGAGCCGTTTAGTGGAGAAAGTGAATACACGTAGTTTACAGAGATGCTGTATGCGAAACAATGTGAGTTTGGAAAATTGCACAGTATAAATCTATTCTAGTCGACCTCAACAATGGAACTATGATCAGTGGAAATGGCCATGACATGGGACCTTTAAACAATATAAAAACAGTGCTATATACATTAGACGAGTGCAAGTTCCAGATGTTTCAAGTTAAAATATAAATACAATAAGGTGGACTGTGAGTACTACAGTGGTGAACCGTCAGGGCCTTCAAGGTATTCAGAGAATACCCTCGATTTAATTAGAGAATAATATCTGTGTTGTTGATCTGTAATATTACAGTGGTACGTTGATTTGTTTGTCCTTCTCGGACCATGCTCTTCGCATTTCAGTGGTTCTGTGTTAGAAAAGAAAGCAACCAATCAGATCTTGTTCTGGGTCTCTGGGTAGAATATCCTTCAACAAGGTATTCTACATCCTTGATGGAATGCCCTGGCCGTTGCACTGAATGAGAGCCTACGTTTGGACTGACAGTTTGATCAACCAATCATATGTTCGTATGCCGTTTTATTGTTTTGAACGTTGAAATGGCAAGTGCAACAGGTGAAGATGATGTTGTTGTAAGTACCCTTTTGTAGACGACAATTCAGTGAAAAGACGGACATTATAACGGCGGGGGAGGGGGGGGTGTGTGTGTGTGTGTGCCTACAGAAGGTCCAGTTGAGATAGACACGGTTCCCCGCTGGAATACAACATATACAAGTTGCTTAGTGTGATTAAAAGGGGAAAGGGAAAGTGAGTATTGATTCTTGCAGGAAAGATGAATTGTGATTTAAAAGAGAGAGTGAAGGTGCAATACCTTTATGGTCCTTGTCACTTTGCATGTGTTTGTGTGCCGACCTACCCTCATTTGGTAAAGCCACGGGGTACACCTCCTTCAGCAGGTCACCGAGAGTGTGCACGTGGCCTTCAGGTGAAACGGGACGAAACTGTTTCTGGATGAACGGCCTGTCGCTCAGCGTCTGAAACAAATATGAGCACGGCAAATCAACAAGCGTGCATAAACATCCAGAAATAGGGTGTGTACAAAAAATACCCATAAGCTAAATATGCTACAAGACTAAATCATATTTCAATCTGATTAAAAGATGCAGCTGTCCAAATACTGTTTAGGATTTGAATCGTTTACTCATCAGGCATGTGATACTGATTCAACGCAATTTTCTGGAAAAACCAGACATCCCGTAAATGGGATATGTTTAGGTAAGTTTCTCGAAGTTGAGCAAGTGGGAAAACATCGACACAACTATGCACGCTATTGCTGTGAATGAACTGGGAATGTTGTGCTTTGATGAGCCCCAGCACTCAGATTGTGATATGTAGCAATTGGTAAAATTTCAACAGATGTTACGGCGATGTTGTAATGATCAGCCTGGAAGTCATCAAATGCTGCTGCGGTCCTTAAAAAAGTATGTATTGTATTTCAACATGTATAATTTCTACTTTTTTTAAAGCTATTTTGTTTCTATTTGAGAAGTTTACATTTTGACTTGTTCATTTCTAGTCTTTTAATTTCTCTAATGTACAATGCCTTGTCTTTTGATGCTGCTGCAACGCAAACATTTCCCAAATCGAGCTCAATTAAGTACATCTTATCTTATCTTATCTTATACTACAGATATATATATATTTTAAAAAACTCTCCTGCCTTCTGGGAGGAGATACAGGAGCTTCAAGTCACGGACAAACAGACTCAAAAACAGTTTCTACCCCTGGGCCGTCAGGCTGCTCAACCACCACACATAATGCAATAACTGTAACCATTCTCACACATACACTTTTAATGCACTTTATATACTATTTTTATATCAATATTTTAACTATTTATTCCCCCGTATGATTGTATGTTGTCTGTCCTATTGCCGTGTTTTTTAGTGTTATGTATTCGTTTGTATTTTGTGCACACCGGGACAGAGTTGCACTCTGAATCTCGTTATACTCCGTGTATAATGACAATAAAAGGCTTTAACTTTATCCGTCATTCTGCGAGGTTCTTAGATGGAGAGAATACAAGTAGATGTGGAGTTGAGATGTGGATTTATGTTCAAGTGTTTATCTAAAAGGGACACTTCAGAAAAGTGGGTGATTGCCTATTTTTGGGGTGAAGAAAGCAACTGGTCCCCATTCTTATTGGGGGAATGTAGAGCAATGATTAATCGTCTAAGCTCTTATGCATTTTGAAAACAACCCTCTTTCTCCACATTTCCTTTTCCCTAGACTGTTAAGATCTGTCTAAAGTCAAACCGTCATGATGATGTTTCACTGACCTGTGACCTCCTCTCTATACGATAATGGTCTAGAAACCAAAGCTTATCCAATTGCTGACCACATTGCAAATCACTCCATGACCACAAAATGCCTCAAATGTAAACTGACTAAGTCATGATGGGACGGCTAAACAAAAGTGACGTGCAGCAAACATCCTCATGACTGTTCCGCTCTGATCTGAAACCTTGCAGCCAAAACATTCCCCGAGTGAGAACTGCGGGAAACATGGTGGGAAATTACCGGCAGACGCCAGAGAAAAATCTAGTAAACTATGTCAGAGCTGGTAATGGACTTTGACTCAGGAGTGTCAGTACAGAGGGGAGCGCATGTTGTAGAGATTGGTATTCCCTTTGAGGCAATTCAACCAAAAAACAGATCTAAATACAACCCGTTTTAAGAAATGTCATTTGAGATGATCCTCAGCATTACCACACACTTAAGTCCTTGATTTCATTTAAAGGACACCTATTATGCAAAATCCTCTTCTTCATGTCTCTTCTACATCAACATGTGTCCCCTCTTCTTCATGTCTCTTCTACATCAACATGTGTCCCCTCTTCTTCATGTCTCTTCTACATCAACATGTGTCCCCTCTTCTTCATGTCTCTTCTACATCAACATGTGTCCCCTCTTCTTCATGTCTCTTCTACATCAACATGTGTCCCCTCTTCTTCATGTCTCTTCTACATCAACATGTGTCCCCTCTTCTTCATGTCTCTTCTACATCAACATGTGTCCCCTCTTCTTCATGTCTCTTCTACATCAGCATGTGTCCCCTCTTCTTCATGTCTCTTCTACATCAACATGTGTCCCCTCTTCTTCATGTCTCTTCTACATCAACATGTGTCCTCTCTTCTTCATGTCTCTTCTTCATCAACATGTGTCCCCTCTTCTTCATGTCTCTTCTCCATCAACATGTGTCCCCTCTTCTTCATGTCTCTTCTACATCAACATGTGTTCCCTTTTCTTCATGTCTCTTCTACATCAACATGTGTCCCCTCTTCTCCATGTCTCTTCTACATCAACATGTGTCCCCTCTTCTTCATGTCTCTTCTACATCAACATGTGTCCCCTCTTCTCCATGTCTCTTCTACATCAACATGTGTCCCCTCTTCTTCATGTCTCTTCTACATCAACATGTGTCCCCTCTTCTTCATGTCTCTTCTACATCAACATGTGTCCCCTCTTCTTCATGTCTCTTCTACATCAACATGTGTCCCCTCTTCTTCATGTCTCTTCTACATCAACATGTGTCCCCTCTTCTTCATGTCTCTTCTACATCAACATGTGTCCCCTCTTCTTCATGTCTCTTCTACATCAGAGGTGCCCAGTACGTCGTTTCTAATATGCAAAAAGACAAACAAATGTCGGTGTATTTTCGATCTTTCCAATCGAGACGAGATCTCTCTCCCCCGTCTGTGTGCGAGGGGGCGGGGCTGTTTACACACACACAGCTGCTACATGCAGCAACACACGGAGGAGATGGCGGAGAGAAGCGCTCCAAGGTGTGGTTAAATGTTACCCGTCTTGAGGTGGACAATGCTCCTTGCCAAAAGTGTTTAGCATGTAAGGGCGGTAACACGAGCAATTTATCTAAACATTTATCAAAAGTGCTCCACATTCAGACGGAGGAATGCACCGGGCTCGACTGTCTTTCTAGCAGCTCTGTAGCCCCATCCACGAGTAACGGTTCCACGTCAGGTGTTATGTATGCTAGCAGCAACACACGCAGTTAACTCAATGATTCAAACATGGGTTAATGATGAGAGGAAACTGAGTTACTCTTTATTTTGTTAAAGTTTCAGCTATTCTGTTCACAGTTCTGTCATCAGATTATTTAATACGATTTGTTAAAACATTGTTGTTTCTTTTGATGCGAAATATTATTTATTTTATTTAAATAAAAAGCAATGTTAATTTTGTTCACAATTTGTTAATTTAATAATATATGTATTTTTGAATCAAGTATTAATCTTTATTGTCTTCATTGTTAGTTTCCACATGCCTAAAACAACCTCAAGCTAAATCTAAAAGTTGATGGCTAAACAAGAGCGTTTGAGAAATTGTGCAAGGCATACGTAATAGTCTGAATAGTCGTTTCATTAATCGATAGATTAATCGATTATCAAATGAGTCGTTTGTTGCAGCCCTATTATCCCATGTATAAATAAAACGTGTTATTCAGCAACCCTTGCAATTTGGGATTTTATTTTTGGTTGGTAGACCTCGGTGAGCTGGTCATTTCAAAAGTAGCTCACCAGCCCAAAAAGTGTGGGCACCCCTGCTCTACATCAACATGTGTCCCCTCTTCTATATCAACATGTGTCCCCTCTTCTTCATGTCTCTTCTACATCAACATGTGTCCCCTCTTCTTCACGTCTCTTCTACATCAACATGTGTCCCCTCTTCTTCACGTCTCTTCTACATCAACATGTGTCCCCTCTTCTTCATGTATCTTCTACATCAACATGTGTCCCCTCTTCTTCATGTCTCTTCTACATCAACATGTGTCCCCTCTTCTTCATGTCTCTTCTACATCAACATGTGTCCCCTCTTCTTCATGTCTCTTCTACATCAACATGTGTCCCCTCTTCTTCATGTCTCTTCTACATCAACATGTGTCCCCTCTTCTTCATGTCAACATGTCTCTGTGTAAAGAGACTCATTTCTATAAAAACCTGTCTGAAAATGAGCTGATCAGATTTTGGTACCTTTATGATGTCATAACGATGTTTTGTCTTGTGTAACCATTAGCCAATCAGCAACCAAGGTACCCCCCCCCCCCCCCCCCTTATCACCTGAATCTCCTCTAGAGCACCATTGAGTTCTTTGTAACCAAATCTCTCTCAGAGGGGCGTGGGGAGGGGCTCCTTATTTTCATCAGTAACAGACAGAGAATCAGCACTTTGGAAATATCACGATAGCACCTTCTAAAAGTGAGTTCATTAAGGCTCAATTTGACACATTCCTAAAACAATGTGTATGGTATAAGAAATCGCTTGTATTCCATTAATTAACACCATTTTAGTTGTTCTGTAATCTCCTGTAAACTCAGCATCCTGAACTTGATTCTGATCCGTCAGCAGGGATGTTCTTTGTAAATGTCAAGAGTCTCGCTATCCTTTCAGAGTAGAGTTAAAAATGCAGTAGTTCTGGTTATCGGGTGACCCGTGTCCTCAGGGAAGGTGACAAGGCGCCGGGCGGCCAGAAGTTGCCGTCACCTTACTTTAAAATGTCTACGTGCAGTATGAGCATTTTCAACATGACACCAGCTAATTTCCCTAGTTGGTTGCTATGAATGTGGAATTTGAACCATTGGGTGATTATGGTTTGCAGCAGTTCTTGCTCACCATTAGAAACCAAATCCCTTCGAGTTTTTTTTAATTGTTGGGTTTATAATTGAAGTCCTGATAAGGTTTTTAACTTGGCCATTAAAGAAAATCACACTTAAATGAATTAAAATGTATGTTCAACGCACATAACTGTAATACCCTATTATGCCTTACCTGATTTCAAACTAATCACACATGCAAAATATACAAAATAGGGTTCGGGATTAGAGTTCATTATTGTAAGTGTCATTGAATCGTTGATTGGTCAACATAAATAATAGCACAATTGGATGGTATCCTTACATTCGATTGCACTGAAAGGTGAATAAAAGACAGTATTAAATTATCGTCCAATCTTCATT